CTGGGGTCAGATGACCCCAGCCAGATGCCTATCCAGCCTTCTCTTAAAGACCCCCAAGGTAAGGGAGAGCACCACCTCCCTTGGAAGCCCATTCCAAATTTTGTCCACCCTTACCATGAAGAAATAGCAAAAATCTTGAAAAGAATGTAAGGGGCAGAGATGAAATAACAGAAGTGGGGAACCTGACCGAAAGTCAGTCTGCCCAAGTATGGCAGGGGATGTGGGAAGCACAAACAAGGAGGGAACATGTAGAAATCGCATGGATGGGAGTACGAAATGTGTTACTGGTAAGATAAAGATTATGCAGATTGGAAAAGTGTCCAAGGGAAAACTGTGAAAAAATAGTCAATTTATCATGTGCTCTGGGGGTATTAATATGCAGAGAAAGTGTGAAGGAGGGTAGGCAAAGAAAATCAAATGGTATAATGTATTGACATGTGGGATGGTGATATATGGACTGGACCAAAGAGGACAAATGGTGCAAAAATTGAGACTTTTGATAATGTCTCACCTGGAAGATGAGGAATCTGTTGGAGCACAAGAGACTATTCTTCACGCTGCAAGAATGCGTGCAGCTAGACATGCATGAACTGTGAACGTATATTGAAAGGAATGAAGAGGAGCTGAGAGCATCAAGCATGATAAAACAAGTGGAGATTAAAAGACTGGGGAACACTGTTGCATGATAATTCTGAGTGGGGAGAGGAAGAGCAGAGGGAATAACAATTTGGAAATGGGACTGAGGAAACTGTTGAAAGCATGCCAGGTAATGTTATTTGTGAAGGCAGACAGATGTTAAAGGATGTAACTGAGATTTAATGTTAGTCTAAGAAGTGTTATGTAAAGTGATGTTACTGTTTTCTTTTTTATATGAGAGAGGACATTTTAATTTTAATTTATTTTAATTTTTTTTAAAAGCATGTTTACCCAATATGGCCATACACTTTAGAGTCATGCTCAGTGCTGGCTGCATTTAATCAACTTCATAGTTGGTTTCTATTACTGAGCAAGTAGAAGGGTAGGGGCAAGTGGCAGAGAGCTGATAGGGGGGTGAGACCAGGCCCCAGCAGTCATGGGGATGAGATCTTACTTCTTGCTTCCCTACCACTGCTTTTCCCACCAAAGGATTAGGAGGGATTAATTTAAATGACCCTCCAAACCAGGGGTGGGCAATTATTTCAGGTGGAGGGCCACTTACCCAGTTTTGGCAAGCTGTTGAGGGCAGCATGGGTAGCCCCGCCCCTTGACAGGTGCCCCGCCCCCTGGTCACCATCTTGGGACCAATGTCCCAGGGCCAGCACTGGTGGGGCACAGAGTAGGGCACAGGCTGGCAGGGGTCTGTGGAGCCGGGCTGGGCTGCACCAGCAGAGAGAAGGGGGAGCTGGCTCGGTTCCACAGAGCCCCTGCCAGCTGGGATCTGTGGGCTGGACAAAATGGCCTTGCGGGCCAATATCTTTTCAATAAGGTTGAGAGAGATCTGTGTCAAATTATTATTTCTACTGTTTTATAAAAGCCAAGTATTCACTGTGGATTAGATTCTAATTCTACTGTAACACTGACAAAAGGGGAAATAAAACCCCTTTAGATTTCTGAACTGAAAAATTACTAATTTATTCAGATATTTTGAGACTTGTATTTCTAGAAACCTCTGAGGGATGTATTTAGTAGGCAAGGTTTTAAAACCAAGGCCACTGACTTTTGGTGCTCCTTTATGCAGTACCTAAGAAGAGATGGCGGAGGTGAAGCCTGGGGTTTGTACCACAAAAAAAGAGTGCTTTGTTAGGCCAGGGAGGCCAATCTACCATCAGAAGTAAGACAGCCAGACAACATAGCCAACCTATGACTGAGACCACATGCTGTGCTTACAGAAGATGTGGAAAACCCCCCTGAAGAAATGCACATTAGAACTGGATAGAACCTTCCTTGTTAAACCCAGGTACCTTGAAATATTCTAAGGTTAACATGGCAGTATAAGCAGGAAACCACACCTCCTACACAGGAAGGTGGGCTCTTGGGTTGGGAGGGTTGCTTGTGTACACTGTGCTACTAGCTCCAGGGTCTAGGTGGCTTGATTGCAAAGTTTTACTGTCTAGGAAGGTTGGCAGACATGAGGATTTGCATCCAAAGTACTAAGAACAGTGATCAGTCACTGTTTAGGCAGAAAACAGGGGTCAATTTTGTACCTTCTGCCAGACTTCAGACAAACACAGCTAACTATGTCTCTCCACTCACTACTCAGGCGTGGGTATTTGGCAGTTGGATTCTCCATATGCCTTTTGTGTGGATTACTTGTAAGTAAACTACAGAGTAAATAACTGGACAGGAAAAAACATATACACAAAGCAGAAGCAAAATAATCTTAAACTGAAAGTTTTAAGGGTAAAATATATTAAATTACCTTGGTTTGTTTTTTTATTTACTTCTGACTGCAACTGCTCCAAAGTAATTCCTAACTGATTTAGCTGCATTGTTTTTGTTTCACCATCTCTTCTTAATTGTATTAGTTCTTTCTCCATATCAATAAGTTCATCTTTGCATTGATCCATCTCTAATTTAATCTGCCTAAATAAAAAAAAGAAACCAAGGAGAATTAAAAAATATTAATGAACTGTGGAATAATATAAGCAACATCTGTAAATCCTTGTATGTTTTGGGTAATAAATATGCACCTGTGATTAATATGTTTTGAGCATCTAGAAATCTGGATTCTACTTTAATATCTGCAACAGAGCAATGCTGTCCTCTTACATCAGTTCCCCTTCTTTTAAAAACCACTTATAAAATTCTTGTAAGGCTAGATTAAATTTATATTTTCTGTTACCAGGTAATTAATTTACAAGTATTACAAACGTGCCAAGTATTATTACAGTGAGTGGAAGTAATAATGCATGTAAACAATGCTATGGGTAAAAAAACCGGGTCATATTATAGGAGAATAGATCAATTTTCTTATCATCATAAGACTACCTAAGTCTATACATAGGAACATGGGAGTAAAAAGGATTTCCAGGGTTATTATGACCAGCCCTGCTGTCACAGACTACATTTAAACTGTCTGTTAAATACATTACATAATCCCATTCTAAAATTATAATTCTATAATCCCACTCATAAATTCTAAAATGTATTAGCTGTGTGCCCACACTATTTCCATTGGAAGGTTATTCCAGAATCTCATTCCCCTGATTGTTAGAAACTTTCCTTCTAATCTTCTGACTACATTTACCAGTTTACACTTCTTAGTCTGTATACCAACACTGTCCTTATACCAATAACTGTCCAACTGCAAGCATTTGTATGGCATCCATCACCACAGAACTGGCTTTCAGGGCAATACGCTATTATATGTACTTATAAACATAGTGTAAAAGCTTATAAAGACAACATTTACATAATTTTAATAAGCCAGAGTAAAGTATATCAAATCACTCCAATTTTAATTTAATTTATAATGCATAAGTCTTATTTAATTTTGAATGTCAAAAGTGTTAATACTGTTAAAACCTGCCAGCCTATGATATGCAGATTTCATATCGGAGTCTCAGGCCCTTGCCTCAAAAGCACAATGTATACGTTACAGAAAAACCTGGGCAAAGTATTAAAAGGCTACAGTTCACAGAAGTTCCTTCTCTACCAGGCTGAGTCCTCTCCCAAATACAAGGACTCCTGCAGCCTTCCTTGGTCCCTTGCAATTCTCGATGAGGAGACAGTCGTGAGGAACCTAAAAGCTGAGTTCTTTCCCTTGCTCCTGGCTAGCTTTTGTAATGACTGTGTACTTCAAACTATCATCTGAATCCTAATCTTACAGTATCACATAAGCAGAAGCTGATTAAAATAAGGTGAAGCTAGCCCTCCTTCCTGCTTCAAAAGCCAGTACAATAACAGGCTGCTATTTTCATACCTGTTCCAATGATCTGCGTATGGAATGAACACAAGCAGACAGATTTATTCAAAGGCTTATCAGCTCTTTATGCTGCTGAATGCCATTTCAAGAGTACATGGGTTAAACAAGTCAATTAAATTGTAGTATTTCTAACTGCATTTCAAATAGTACTCCTGGACAGTGTCCCCAAAAGAAAAATTACATTTAGTTTACTTTATTCTCTCTCTTTTATTTCTAAACTGAACATATTTGATATGGAATCAGTGGGGAAAAAAGCGCTGCTCGGCCTGGTACTGGCTACTGGGGATGACCTAGTCGGCAACCTAGTGATCGATGGGAAACTGGGTGACAGCGACCACGAGCTGATCACCTTCACCATCCGCCGAAAAGCTGGCAAGTCGTGTTGGTGTTATATAGCATAATTAGGAATTATCTATATATGTAATGCTGCCTAAGAACTAATTCAGCAAGACCTCTGTTTCCAGAACGCCTATGAGAAGTACACGAATATACAGAATTGAGCTATAAGGTGGAAAACCCTTCCAGATGGGGACTTGTATTTTTTAATATGTAAAGCATTTAGTGACTTTTGAGTGCTATATAAATACCAAATAGCACAGAAAAGATACAAATGGCACGCAACCGACTGTCAGTGCAGCAAATTAAGCTTCTGTTTATAGCAGGAGTGTAAATATAGGGTTAACGGTTAATTCATTTAATGATGAATGTGACACCACTGTGTTATCCTGTAAGAACGTGAATAGAGATTTGCAGCAGACAACATGCTGTGAGCCCAAAAGAATAGGAAACTACTGCCTGCTTTTTTTAAAACTATTGCAAAATGTGGACACAATACTTGGACATAATAGACTGTGTCTGACAACATTTGTACAGTATGTAGCGGAGTGAGCCCCACTCAGCTTCCTATAGTTATCCATATATAGTGACTAAAATTGCAGACACTGAATTAACTCTGAATAACATATGAGCTGGAGTGACAGCCTTCATGTGGTTCTAGAAGGATGAGAATAAGATAGATGGCTGTTTGTGTAGATGTACTAAACTGCAAATCCAGGGGTCCATAGAGTATGGAAAATATGCCAAAAGCTGGGTTGTCCCTTCCATCCCACAGACCCCATTGATTTCCTGCAGGGCAGGAATCCCCCCTTGCAGAGCAGCTTGCAAGATCAGGGTAAATCCATTTCTAGTAACAGACTTTCTCACGCACCCTACCCACTACATTCACGTTTCTCCACTTAGCCCACCTTGGCATCCTTCTGAACCCTGTTATTTTTCAAAACTATTTGGAGAATAGAGAGTGAGTTCTGAATGCCAGCAAGCAACTCTGCCTCTACTGAACCAAGCGGAGAAAGCAGTTGCACTTGAATTTCCCAATTGCCAATTCTCCTTTTTCCTTTCTAACACCAGAATGGAAAGAGCTTTTAGCAAAACTCTCTCTCTAACTTTAGCGGCTGCTCCAGTACCATATAAGGAGACGGGCCATTTCCAAGATCCAAAATATTGAGGGTTTCAGGAGGTTGAGAAAATGGCGAGTTCATATTTATACAGAAACAAGTGGTATGTCAATCCAAATCACAGAACCCGTGCAAAATGCACTCTCTGACAGGAACGCCGCTAAGCAGCGGCGTTCAGCGCCTCGTTTTTAGGCAATCGTCAGGTAAAGCTCCATCTAGAATAGATTGAACTAAAGCAAGATGACAGGAACTGGGAACCCCCAAATCCGAAAGAAATAGCTTTAGGGATGAAAAAGGAGAGTGTGTAAATAGCAAAAGTAGAGGTACCACATTTTGGAGCCAATTGCTTTAGAGAATAAGTGTGTTTTTAAAAACGGATTAAAATAGATTTCTGCAATGGAGGAGCAGGGAGTGCACAAACATTTTTATTTTTGCTCTCAAGCAAATCCCAGGACGTCATTCTCCCCCTGTACTCGGCCTTAGTTAGACCGCAGCTGGAGTACTGCGTCCAGTTTTGGGCTCCACAATTCAAAAAGGATGTGGAGAAGCTTGAGAGAGTCCAGAGAAGAGCCACGCGCATGATCAGAGGTCAGGGAAGCAGACCCTACGATGACAGGCTGAGAGCCCTGGGGCTCTTTAGCCTGAAAAAGCGCAGGCTCAGGGGTGATCTGATGGCCACCTACAAGTTTATCAGGGGTGACCACCAGCATCTGGGGGAACGTTTGTTCACCAGAGCGCCCCAAGGGATGACGAGGTCGAATGGTCACAAACTACTTCAAGATCGTTTCAGGCTGGACATAAGGAAGAACTTCTTTACTGTCCGAGCCCCCAAGGTCTGGAACAGCCTGCCACCGGAGGTGGTTCAAGCGCCTTCATTGAACACCTTCAAGATGAAACTGGATGCTTATCTTGCTGGGATCCTATGACCCCAGCTGACTTCCTGCCCTTTGGGCGGGGGGCTGGACTCGATGATCTTCCAAGGTCCCTTCCAGCCCTGATGTCTATGAAATCTATGAAAGGAACTCAAATGAATTGGTTTAACCAATCTTAACCAGAAATGAACCACACTGACTGTGCACTGTAGATAATAAGTTATTCTGGGGGTTTTTTTTATTTTATATTTCAAATTTATGTCCTGAAAAAGATATTAGAGGGGTTTTCTGCTCCATTATTCAAAGAGAATGGCAAGTTCAGTAATAAAATCAGTATTTATTGCTTCTCAATTAATTCAGGCTCCAGTTTCAAGAAGGCATCTAATTCTAGGTATGACACTTAAGTCATAGTATTTATGAACTCTCCTTGAAATAAGGCCTACAAGAGGACTAGTCTTGATAACCATTTGTAAGTTAATAAAAATGTCACAAAGCTAAAAATAAAAGTCCATAATTCAACAAGGTATGGGGCAACTACTCGCTCACTTAAAATTATGCAGACTTACACAGCTTGCTGATTCATTCCGAGGTCCCTTCCAGCCTTACAATCTATGAATCTATGAAAGTATTATTCTGAAGGTACCTATTAAACAGCTTCATGGCCTAAGAACATCACATTTTATATTAAAAAATCAGTAGTATAACAACATGAAACTAACATAGAATATAAAAATGTTCTAAACATACCTGATTGTACTAGTAAGTTCAGCGACTTTCTGTCTTTTTAAATCTGCTTCCTGAGAAGATATGTGGAGTTTCCCTTCTGCTTTTCTCAACTCTTCTTCTAAATTTTCTCTCTGTTTTTGAAGTTCTTGCTCTAGCTTAGATACCTATTTAAAATGTTATTTAATATAGTATTCTAGGTTAATAATTAAGGTACATAATCTCTTCAAGGTGACATAAGGAGGATTTAAGATATGACATTTCTCTGCTTAGATTCAAAAACTGCAAAAGTCAAAGAACAGAAATGTGTACCTTCAGAAAACATACCATTTCTTAAACTCTCAGTAATTAAATTTAACATTCTGTATTCCAACTTATTTCTAATTAAAATCTACAAAGTCTGATTTTCAGAGTACAGTATTAAGCATCCACAGCTCGAGCTGAAACTGACTGGTGTTGCAGGTATTTTGCACCTCTTAAAACCAGGCTTCTATACTATTTATTTCAGCTACATTTGATAATTAAAATTATAAACAAAGTAGGTATCAAAGAGACATTCAGATATTGAAATATCACAGAAATGTATATAAATACATTTAAGTATTTATCCTTATCTACACTATTAAATTCTTCTCATTATAAACAAATGTACTGTACCTGTTTTTCAAGTTTAAGTTGGCTATCCTCTAGCTCTCCGTTTCTAATGGTTTCTTCTTGTAACATTTGCTGCTGCCGATGCAAAGTTTGTTGTAGGAGGACGTTTTGTTCACTTGTGTCCTGAAGATTTTGATTTTTTAATTTTATTTCTTTTTGTAACCTTTGCACCTGTAAATACATTAGCTTTCTATTATAGGAACGAAGGAAATATTTATAACTTTAACTTGCTCCCATTTAGTTGCCTATCACATTTTTCTTAGTTAGAGCAGGATCAGAACCATAAAATAAAATCTATATGGCTTTGAACCCTACTTTATTATGAACTCAAGCCCCTAACACATCCCAGCCACAAGAAGGTACATGTTCAGAGGCACACACACTCTCTACTTCTTTCTTGGACCATGATGACATTCTTTTATTTTAAAAAAGAAGTAATATTTCATAATGTATAACTTTTGTTTCCATTACAACTTAAAAAGTAGATAAAATAAATGTTACCTCTTCAGACTTCTTCTTTAGCTGTTTTTCAAATGAGTCCTTATTTTCATCTAACCGACTCAAATATACTGCAAGTTCTTCTTTACAGAGGTCTAGAGCTGATTCAAGTTGTCTGCCCTAGTTATAAGCATTAGACCATTTAAAATAATTAGTTGTTCAGAAATACTAAAAAAGTATAAAGAATTAAAATTTCTCATTAATTCCACTCTCTTATGGTTACTGCATTTTATTTTAATCTATTTCATCTCAATGGAAAAACTATTTAAACCAGTTGTTAAAGATATGAACCACAAGCCAGATCCAGCCCATGGCGCCTTAGGATCTGGTCCAAAGGTTTTGGACCAATTCCATACACCACATGCAGCATGTGCTGGCTCCAGCCCCAGGCTCTGCATGCCATTCACAGAGACAGTCTGGCATATGTGCAGTAGACTGTCCTTGTGCACTGAAGCCAGTACACACCACACTGGCCCCATGCACTGTACACAGTGCAAAAAAGCCAGTGTTGTCAAAACTGCACAGAAAAGGCTTACCAGACAGACACAGGAAAAATACATATGTGGGCTTAAAAAGGATGAGAAAACTTAAATTTAAGTTACTAGTTAATCTAAATCAGTAATGCTCATGGTTTTGGCTCTTCAAGCTAAATGAAAATGCAGGGCCAGTCTGCAGGCCAGATTGGGCCCCATGCTGCCCCCACCCGGCCAGGATCACTATCCCACACACCCAGTTTTGCACACAGGGCTGCAGCCCGTGGGACTCCTCACAAATCTGCGGGGAGATCTGCAGGGCAAATGTCACAGTACTGGGGGCCAGGGGCTGAGCACTCCAATCTAAATCAGTGGTTCTCAAACTCTTCAAAGTTAGGACACCCCTCCCCAATTTTTTCAGTGTGGTAGTACCCCCAGTTGAGAATCACTGTGGCACTCAACTTACCTCACTTATTCTCAAATGCGTAAAACTGCCAGACTAAAAATGACTGCAGCACATGCACATACTCATCCTGCACTTGGGTTCTCTGATCAGCCTAAAGCAGGCAGGAAATCCAGCTCATACTGCATCCTTTCCCAGTCCAACTCTACACAGCATATCCCAGAAACAGGCGCGTGTGACAGGTGGAACTCTATTCCTGGGAGGTATTGGGGAAGAGGGGTGGGGGAAAACCAGGAAGAACTACAACTCAAGCCAGCTCTCCTGCCTGCTTTAGGGTTATTGAAAAACCCTCAGGCAGGAGTGTGTGCAAGCCGTAAACCCTGTACACAGACCACTTTCACCTGGCCATTGCTACTGTGGTGTTGGTACCTACAGTGTGGCACTCCCATGAGGGTCTCACAGCACCCCACCTGAGAACCACTCGTTTAATTTAAACACAGTTTCTAAACCTGCCGAAAAGAGCATTCTGTTTAGTCAATATTTTATTTTGAAAACTTCTCCAAAATATTGCCACAACATAATAAGTGTGAGGCCGCTCTACTTTTATACAAGAGCATTTTCATCAAACAAATTTTTGCTCATGCATAGTCTAGTCACTGTATTTATTTAAATAATGGATGACAGGCATATTGAAAGGTAGTGACTTCTGGAATATCTACATGAGCCAGATTTCTATAAAGTAACTTTGTTGCATTTTATTCCTGGAAAATGGAAATCAGTTCTCAGCCTCTTCAAAGTCATAACTACCACAAATTAAAAGAGAAAAAAGTATTAACTGAAAAACAAAAAAGCATACTCACTTTGACCATTTCCTCAGTTAATTGGTTTTGCAAAGTTTTCAAAGCTTCATCTTTCTTGATATTTTGCTTTTCCATTTCCTGTTATATGCAGATTTGCACATAAAGAAAACAAGATGCGACTGTAACTGCACATATACAAGTTATGCTATTGGAAACAGCATAACAAAAGAGGAAAAGTGCTAGAAATATTTGTATTTATAGTCTATTTGCATTCACTGTACTTTAGAGAATTTGCTCCTGATTTTGTGTTATGCTCTACATCTCTTATGGCAGTAAGAGACTACAAAGGGAACACCCTCCATACAGTGTAAAGCAGATCAAATGGCTCTATGCTGACCCCTTTCCCTGTCCATAGGGGAGGAAAAACACTAAGGTCCAAGACAGGGTCTGGCCATAGTGCTATCCTTCGCTAGCACAACAAGTTATAAGGAGTAATTAGTTTAGAGCAAATCTGGGTCTACTCAGCGTTTTATCAGGGACTGAAGACAGAATTAGGAAGCAATAAAAACAGCTTAACATAAACTTTGACCACCCCAGTTTTTCCTATGTCCAAAGACAAACAACAAAGAAGAACCCACTTTATCATCTCTGACCATTAGTCAATCATTGCTGGTTTTGCTTTTAGACAGAATAATCAAAGTTACCTTTCTGCTTTCTATCAGCATCTGATCCAATGATTCAATGTGTTGTTGTTTACACAGAATATCTTGTTGTAAAATGGACATTATCTTCTCTTGCTCATTAAATTGCTCATGTTTCTTATTCAGCTGTGTCTGAAGCTATACACAAGGATTTTTTTATTGTTACATAGACTATTAGCTTATGAACAGACTCAGAAACTTCCAAACATATAGTTCCATTCCATTCACCACCAGCCACATACAGTCAACCCTAGAGTGAATACAAAAGGCATCATACTGAAGCCACTAATAATACTGCACAATTTAGGAACAAATTTTAAAAAGTACCTTGTTGATTAAAGTGAAAAGTGAGTACAAATAAACAGCATAGCACAGGGCTGGGCTGCTGCTGCAGGCTTTCCCAGCAGCTCCCTCCCTCTGGGCAGCAGGTAAAGAAATGGGGGCAGGCTGCAGCGCAGAACCTTTGTCCAGGGAGGTGGCAACAGCATGAAGCTTAGGTGGGCAGGGCCCCCCCCAGCTGCTGCTGCTACCCCCACCACCTGCCAGGGCTGTGCGCCATGGAGGGAGTGTGGACCCCACCCCCCCCCCCCCTCAAATCTGGCAGGAGCTGCACTACTTGCTGTTGATGTGGCAGGCACCAGCACCCCCACCTGCTGCTGCGCCATGTTGGAAGTGTGGGAGGGGTCCCGACACTCCTCCCACCCCACAAGCCACACATACAGACACACACACCCCCTCCTCCCCACAGCGTTGCCTGCATTGACTGCAGGGGAGGACAGAGCGCTCCAGAGACCTATGATCCAGAGCCACACACCCACACCCCACAAATCCCACCCCCAACACACTCTATGCCCCCCACACACAGCCATACTGCCTCACAAACTCCCCCCACAACCCACCCTAAACACCTCCCCAAATCATGACAATATGTTATTTTTAAATAAAATTAAAATATGTTATAGTAGGTGTTTGACTTGTAGAATATGATTTGTTTTTTTCTGGTTCTAAGGTGGCAACCCCCCCAAAGGAGTATTTCCGGGGGAACAAGGAGACAGACTGCTGGTGGAAAAGGTCAGGGGTTAGGGATGGGACTTCCAGTCACAAGATGGCAACCAAGGGGTAGAGCACCTGTCAAGGGGCGGGGCTACCCATGAGGCCTTTGACAGCTCACCAAAACTCATTAAGTGGCCCTCCACCTGAAATAATTGCCCACCCCTGGTCTACTTTTTCCCCAAATGTAGATCCAGGACCTCTAGAGAGATGCCTTCATGAAATTTAGGGGAGTTAGGTAATGTTATAGAGGCATTTAAAATTCCTTCTAGATGGAAGAGAAGAGATGCATCTCTCTCAGAGAAACAGCATGAGTCTTCATATTGCTAGAATAAAAAATATTAAAGGGAAAAGTATCATGAATTTCTAATTTGTTAGCAACCTCAGAACTGTCACAGGGCACAAAGGTGTGTCTGCTCCTTCAAGAGCAAAGTCAGCTTAGCTAGGAAGCCCAGAAAGCTAGGCAGGGCTCCACAGCTGCAGGCTGCTTTGACAGTAAGCTAATCAGGTAATTAGCCAGCACCTACAGGTAGTCAGCTGACTGGAAGGAGTCAGAGCCCAGGGCACATATAAGCTCAGGGTTGAGGCTGGCTTGGGGTCACTATCTCTTTGGCAACTGCCAAGAGAAAGAGCTCCTGAACAAGAGAACAGCCCGATGCATCCGGCTGCCTGCTTTGCTACCGCCAAATGCAGTAAGACTCTAGGGGCCCACAATGTGCCCAGAGATAAAAGGAATAATATTCTAAGGGCGAGAGTTGGCCCTCTTAAAGGGGAAGAGTGCTGCCTTTATTATTAATGTTATGTTGTAGCCCAAGGGCTTAAGTTTGTGTGATTGTTTGAACTGGTGGACCAGGAAGAGGCTAACAGGGGAGGAGGAGGCCTCATTGGGGGCACATGATTGTGCAGAGCCCCAGTACCAGAGGGGTGCAATCCCAGGGGCTGCAAAGAGACCAGCACCAGAGGGGCATGAGCTGCAAGGGGCCGGAGAGCCCAGCACCAGAGGGGTGCAAGCTGCTAGGGCCAGGGGCCCAGTAATAAGAGGAGTTCATAGGCTAGTGCTTCAAAGCCAGGCCCAATACAGTGGGTCTAGGCTAGAAGGCCTAGCTATATCAAAGGGGCGGAGTTCGACTAGGCCAAGGCCCCAACAGCAATGTAACACCTGCGAGGCATGGTAAAGGGGTACTTGGAGCCATGCAATTGGCCTATAAGGCCTGAGGTGTTTCATGCAGCACCATACTGAAGAGAGACCTGGCAAAGGGCCTACAGATCAGAGAGCTCGAGTAAGGTTCAGTGAACCAAGACTAAGCGAAGGCTTGTGGGCAGCTTCCCAAGTTATTTTTCAATCAAAGATGTGGCAGGCAAGATAAGAGGGTGCTCTCAGGGCAGAGCTTGCACGGTCACAGAGCCACCAGGGGCATCACGGCCACCCCTGGGGATCTCACCCTGTGACAAGGACCACTGAGGAATAAAGATTGGTAAATTAAACAACAAGGAAAAAATATTGACGTATAACCCATACTAATTAGTATACAATGTCTTACTATTTCAATCTGTTTCTCCATTTCTTTATGCTGTTCAAGATGAATTAACTTTGCTTTTTCAAATGCAATAGTTACATGCTCATGTTCTTTATTGATATTTGTTTCCATGTTACGAATCTGACCATTCTTTTCCTGAAACACAAAAACAATCCTTGATAGGTATGTATTGATCTTTTGTGCAAGCAATGAAAAGGCATAAAGTTCTCAGACTTTATAAAACAAACAAAAAAAATAATGAAAACAGATAATAATATTTTCCATTCATCTCAAAGCGTTTTAGGTGCCACAGCATACATACAGAGTAACACTGGAATGCAGCTACATTGCACAGATTAGGCAAATGTCAGAGGACGAAAGACACAGATCACAACAATCAGGAACAAGTGAAATATATGAAAAGGACAGCAAGGCAAAGAACTACTTTCACCAAAAGAACCATGCCCTATTCAGAACAGACAGGTCCCTAAAGTGTTAAAGTCTCATTTGGAAAAACCATTTGACCATCTAACAAGGTGGGAGGGAAGTCTTAACCAGCAGCACTTGGACTTGAACATATGGAATCTAGGTATCCTAAAACCAATATTTTAACTACTAACACATGCTACAGCTACACTATTGCCTAATAACAATGCATTTCTAACACTTATCTAAAGTTCTATCAGTGCCCTCTACAGATATTCAGTTTCACAAATTAGGAAAAAGAAACTCGGAGAAGTAAAGTAGCTTAGCCAAAGTGGCAAAATGTTATGTAAGAGAGAGACGGACAGTGCTCCAGATTTAAGTTGCAGGCACATAACCATGTTTAAATTACAAAAAGAATCATTAACTTGGGAATTTTTAGAATATTTATATAAAACAGCTTATTATTACTATGAACCTTCACTACTTCCTATAGTCCACTCTTTTATCCTCTACCCCAAGTCACTCAGCTTTAAACTATATTATTTCATAGACTTTAGGGCTGGAAGGGACCTCAGAAGATCATCAAATCCAGCCCCCTACCCCAGGGGCAGGAAGTCAGATGGGGTCACAGGATCCCAGCAAGATAGACAACCAATTGACCCTTAAAGGAATCCAGAGTAGGTGCTTGCACCACCTCTGGTGGCAGCCTGTAAAGAGGGGGCTCAGACTGTAAAGAAGTTCTTCCTTATATCCAGCCTGAAACAGTCTTGGAGGACTCTGTGACCATTTGACCTTGTCATCCCATAGGGCGCTCTGGTGAACAGGCGTTCCCCCAGATCCTGATGTACACCCCTTATATACTTATAGGCAGCCACCAGGTCCCCACCTGAGCCTGCACTTTTTCAGGCTGAAGAGTTCTGTAGCTCTCAGCCTCTCATATTTTACTGGAAGAATAGTTTTACTGCAATATAAAGGCATTTAGAAGACCAAAATATAAAATACTTTATTCTTGACCTTAAGTTTAAAAAAAAAAAAACAAATGGAAAAGGAATGTTTAGGATCATTAAATATTTTTGACTGAACATATTTCCTTGTAGAACAAACAGCTGAAAGAGACAAAAACCCCCACTGTTTCCTGCATTTAAAAGAAGACAGAAAAATATTGTTTCCATTGAAGTAAATGACAAAACTCCCACTGCCTTCAATGCGAGGCTTTCAGTATACCTTTAGTATGAAGTAAACAAACTACATATCCTTTAAGAATTTCAACCTCTGTTCAAGCAAAGAAAATATAGCATCTATTGAAAGCAAAATTATCCAGATTATTAAAACAATATGTCCTATGCTGACAGATAATATTGGCTGTCTTGCATACACATAATGAAGATTCTTCTACTGCAAGTACAGTACAGTCACATCATACGCGCATTTAACTTGCGCGAATTCAACTATATGTGGGATGGGAGGGGGGCGGGGCTTGAGTTTGCAGTGGGGCGGGAGGTTTTGGCAGCGTGATGGCCGGGTGGCACACAGCCATCCCCACCACCACCCCGCGCTGCGCTGCTGCCGCCGGCCGCACAGCTCTAAGCACAGCTCCGTGGCAGCGGCAAGAGGTTTTGGAGGCAGAGGCAGTCACCGCTAGTCAAATCGCTGGCAATTTGACTATACGCGATTTTCGCCTTATGTGCTGACCTCAGAACCTAACCCCTGCGTAAGATGCGACATACCTGTACACAGTAATGCCGCCCCCACCCAAATAGTACAGTTTTACATGACTGGAATTTCTAAAGTGAAAGCTTCCTACCATAAGTTCCTGTTCCAGTTCAGCATTTCTGGCAGCAGCAGTAGAAAAAGCAACTGTCTTTTCTTCCAGCTGCTTTTCAAGTGCAGAAAGCTGAGAGGATTTTTTTGTTATCTGAAAATAAAACATAAACCATTAGGAGTCATAGAACAACAAGAGAAAACGCACAGTGATATATACATAGCATAGGTACACCTTGCTGAGAGTAATGTGAAGATGACTCTGTAGAGCAAAACCATTTCACTTGACCCAGAGGGTTCCTAAAAAGGATGGGAATGTAAAGGCTAGGCCTGCCACTGAGTTTCCAGCTACAGGGATGTGTATCAGCAGTAGGGGCAATGAGTGGCAATAGCAGTAACCCTCATGCCGCAGCCACCACCAACACATTCATTAATTTGTTAAACCAGTTGTGCAGCAATCCCGTGTTGCACCCCCTAGCTGCAGACAGAGATGATCGTAGCAGGGTGCGGGGCTCGGACACAGCAGCAGCAGGCAAGTGGCCGGATGCAAAGCCAGCCCGGCTCTGCGGGGCCCCCCCAAAGCACAGGGCCCAGGGCAGTCACCCTGATTTGTGTCCCCCCCTTCCCCCCTGACCCCCCGGGACAGCCCTGGCTGCAGAGCATGCTAACCAATGATGGATTAAAGCTTTAACTGCCCTATTTTCTTCCACGACTCTCAAGTAAGTTTTGGCTGTTAAAAACAAAAAACAAAACAAACAAACAAAAAGTGTCTGAATTTTCTTATTACATCAAAATCTAAACATGTGCACGTGTTCGTTGATAGCAAGAATACATGATAAAATAACCATCTGTTTCAATCGCTAGATGGCACATTTTCAACATAAGAATGCGAACAAAATTATACCTTATACAGCAACTTCAGAACTAAGTATTTCTGATGTTAAGAATACACCAAGATGGATCTCTGTCTTAAAATTATTTTTCCCCAATAAATATTAATTCAGACAAACTTTAAAACAGGCTTGCATCCAAAAAACAAATATGATAATAAGAAGTTTAAAAAAAGGAAAAAGTAGTCAGTTTTGTGTCAACAATGATCAAAGGGTATCTAGAATGATAAAATACAAACCACATTATACAAGAAACCCACAGACCAACATACATATCTGCACAGAACCAGCAGTCACCCTAAACACACCAAAAAAGCTGTGATATACAGCCAAGCCCTCAGATACCACCGCATTTGCACAGAAGAGAACACCTGGGATTGCTACCTCACCAATCTTAAAAAGGCTTTCACCCAACAAGGCAGACAAGGTTCCTTGGGTGAATCTGACATCTTTTATTAGACCAACCCAAATAGTTAGAAAATAATTCTTAGGCAAGCTTTTGGGTTCAAAAACCCTTTGTCAGGCTAAGGAAGTTTCAGCAGTTGGTATGTGCTCTTCCTGGATGGAATGAAAAGTAAAGGCGGCAGCGGCTTGGCTGGTATGCATACAAGACAGGTAGTCAGTGAAAATGTAGATTGAAGAGTCAATGGGTGAGATGAGGGAGGGGGGGAGGAGGAGAAGGGGGATGAAAGTGGAGAGATACCTGGGGAGTCAGATGTCAGGCAGGTTATAATGTGTCATAAATCCAATGTCTATATTTGGTCCATGAGTTTTAGTATCCAGGAGGTTGATGAAGTGGAGTTCATAGGCTCATCTCTAGGAAGTGTTTTGTAGGTTTCCTTTGAGGATCAGGACTGAGAGATTG